TGCCAAAAGGTACAAGTATAGGTTTGTACGAAGGAGGTACCAAATGCAGTAAGAATTGTATGATACAGAATGGATTCATCATTAGTTGGATTCATAATTAGGTAGAAGCGAATCTCATAAAAGAAGCAGTCTTTCTACCCCCACAATTAGACAAACTGGGCACAGGATTGAAATACTGTAAGCAAATAGTGGGTGGTTACCAACCCTTTTTTTCTGAAGAGAGGGCAATTTTAGGATTGGAAGCAATCTGACTCGACCTTCCTGTCTTAACTTGGGAAGACTTTCCATTCCTGTTCCAGTTACTCTGGGTTGTACACAGGTTAACATTTCAAAGCAGATGAGTGGGAAGAGCCAAAACACAATCTACTAGCCATATGTTTTCAATAGCATATATGGACAAGAGGGAAAGCAATCTGGTATAGTAAATTAAATGCTTAATAGCCAACACTACCACTCAGAATTTACACAGGGATCAACTGGAGAGTTACAACATCAGTGGAAGGTCAGGCACAGCACACTGATCAGTTTGGTAGGCCTGTGTCAAGGTATACAAGTTATTTAAGCATAGTGGTAAGTAACAAATGAGAAAGTATTAGTATTTATTGTAGATGGCTAGAATGGGAGGCTACGCTGATTTACACTACCTGTTCACCAATTGGAATTGGAGTAGGTCTACAGGAAGAATCAATTTTTCACCTTTCTGAGGCTACAGATGAAATACAAAAACCTCTTATCACATTTTAGACTAGGAGATTGGATGTAGGAATGTGTTAATTACACCAGAGAGGATTTGGGCTATGTTTAGCTACATCAAAGGATTTCTTCTCTGGCAGCTGAGAAACTATGAGCTACGTGAAGTATGCTTGATAATAAGCTGTTTAGTGATCTGCAGTTTTTAAAGAATTAACCCTGGAGAATTGCTGTCTCACTTCTCAGTTCAGTTTTGAAAAAGATCATGAGTAATGTTGTCAAACTAGTCCAAATCATACTGGTCTGTTGAGTTGTAATCATCTTAGTCCTACATCAAGATTTTGAAAGGAATTGTATACGGAACAGAAACATAAAGAACAGGGGTGTTCATAAAAACTGAATACAATTCTCACTCATTTAGAATAGTTTGCCCAGTTTAAGCTCTGCACTAGGAGACAGGGTGTTCTTATTTTCCAAAGCATGGAAAAGTGATTTTTGGTGGCAGCAAAGAGTAGGATGCAATTTTCTATTCACATTGGAAATCACCATGAGTGTTTAAATGGGCCAGTAAACTTCTGTGAATTCAGTCAGAATAAAAATTAGCTTGTGCATAATAAATTAGTTTGCATTCATAAGAAAAAAGGAACACTTAGCTCAGTAATGCACATATATTAACACTGACCTACGGTTGTTTTTCATTTTGCTATATTTTACATGCAAATTCCTGTTTTGTACTTTTCTCCTCTACAGGGCCAGTTACTGCATTTCTATGCTAACCCACACCATAAAAAATGAGAACATGAAATAGAAATTATTAAAAATCCAGCATTTCAAATGCCACTAATGTGCATACTGCCAACTGTTTTGAAGACTCATTCCTCTTAGTCAATAGGAGACTTTTCATCTGCAATTTCCATTGTAATATCATGATGTATTGGACTGCAATTTCCATAATTCCCAGTCATTCTCAGCCAGATTTGGGAATTGATATCTCACATGTCTAGAGTGCATCAATCTGAGAAGGTAACTGCTCTTCAGCTAAATCACACTAGGGCTCTTTTGGAGTCACTGGCTTCTTTTCCCCAAACCTTTCGACATATTTTCAAACCATCCCTACAACTCAGTGCTCCCTCCCTCCAGCTGGCCAGTAGGGTAGCATTAACAAGAGCTTATTTTTGGTGAAATGGGGGCAGGGGCTATGGTGCCCTGATTTCAGTGGGAATGGGAAAATGCAGAGAGGCCGGGGAGGGGAGAGTCGCTGAATTCTCCCCAGTGGGAAAGTGCCAGACCAACAGCTTCAGGACTGACCCAGCAGAATGGGTCCAGCACTATTTCCTACAACCAAGTTGTGAGACCTACAGGCACAGCCCAGAACTTGGCATGGCACATTATCATCATATGCCAACCTCCTCCTCCATCTTGTTAAAAATCTCCAGTTCTCTCTTCATGTTTCTCCATGTTTCTCTTCAATAATAATGAGCATCAGGGCTCCCATATATGGCTTGCAAAACTCCAGATGACCTCAGAAAAGCAACAGAAAACTCTAACTTTTAAACGGGATGACCTCTGGGGGGCAACAAAGAACAGGTTTTCGGTATCTCCTTCTTGCTGCCGCCTGCGGTCGTCTGGAGTTTTGCGGAACGGAAATGGTTGGCCTGAGATCATTCAACATTCTTGACCTAGTTAACCATGTAATACAGTAGATTGAAGTCAAAGAAATATTTCCATAATGTTGCCAAGAAAACTACATGAGCATATCAACCAAGAGTCAAACTGAATATTTTTTTTACGGTATAATACCTTGCCGGATTATATAACGAAGTTGGGAAAAAAGGATGAGGAACGGGAAGTGCATAACAAAAAAGCACCCGGAAACTTTTTATGTTACATACAATTAAAAAAAAAAAACTCTTAAAAACTGTCCGCGTCGCTCTTTCGTTCCTTCCGTTTCCTCATTTCCGGCACTGTGTCCTCTTCTTTTAAAATCCTTCCTGGTAGGAAGACATCTTCTTTTTCATATTTCTGTTTCATTACAATATTACACTACTCTCTATAAATAAATATATAAATATAAATATATATGTATGCAATTTCCTCTCAGGCAACATCCTCCGCTTTAAAGAGCCAAGGTTGCTCCGCCTCCCCTATTTGCGTCTAAGAAGGAAGCGGAAGTGACGTCCTGTGCACTGTAGTTGGTGGAGTGCCGGAAAGAGGGAGGGTTAAGGCTCGGGCCCGGGGGCCGGGGGGGGCCGCAGAGCAGCTGCTACTGTCTCCGCCGTAGCTGCCCGGACCCTCCAGGTACGCGGTGGGTTTT